GAATTTTGACCAAGGTTAAGTTAGGTAATTAAAAAAAAATGGTCAAACTCCAAGATCAAGTCAAAAGTTCAAATATGCTGGTACCATGCAAAGAAAGGACTTGTCACAAAGAATACACGTGAACAAAATGTGTTTGAGAAACACTATGCGCCCGGTGGAAACAAAGTTGGAAAAAAACACCTATTTTTAGCATAAAGGGCACAGTCAACGTCACAAGGTCATTGAGCTTGGTGTCATTTGAAAGAACTTGATTAGAACTTAATATGAAGTCTCTATCACTTATGGTTCAAAAGTTATGGAAGGGTACGAAAAAGCTATTTTTAGCATACAGGTCACAGTCAGAGTCACCTTGGTGCCATTTGAAAGAACTTAATTAGTGAAGTATGCATACAAAATATGAAGTCTCTTTTTTTCATGGTTCAAAAGTTATGGCGAAGGTACGAAAAAGCTATTTTTAGCATACAGATCAAAATCAAAGTCATCAGATCATTGACCTTGATGTCATTTGAAAGAACTTGATTAGTGGAGTATATATGCATACTAAATATGAAGTCTCTATAAGTATCTCTTATGGTTCAAAGTTATGGCAAAGATACACAAAAGCTATTTTTAGCCTATGGGTCAAGGTCACAATGTCATTGACTTTGATGTCATTTGAAAGATTTGAATTAGTGGACTGTGGACTATGCATACTAAATATGAAGTCTCTATCTTTCATGGTTATGGATAAAGTTTGCAGACAAACAGACAGACAGGACAAAAACAATATATGCCCCGGATCTATCGATTCGGGCGCATATATATATATATATATATAGATCCGGGGCATATAAAAATGAGTGCCATATTTCCAACCAATCAAAAGTTATAAGCAATGTTTTTTTGCTGACAGACAGACGGACATGCAGGGGAAAAATTATATGCTCCCGAATCTACGATTACTGCATGGTGCGTAAAAAGTTTAAAGTTCCCTCGAAAATGATTGAATCAGAATCAATTGTTGATCCGCTCCGCTCGATCAGAAACTCTTGACATGGGAAGATGGCCATTTTGTAGCTGCAGAACTGTTGCTCTCCGAAAAAATATATTGACAGGCCGGTCTGTCAATATATTTTTTCGGAGAGCTACAGTTTTTGCACCTCCTACTTTACTTTGGGGCGAGGGTATCATTTAACTAGTGAGCTCAGTGCCCACAGTACTAGCTTCTAGCTTATTTCGTTGAGAAAAAAAATCAGGATATGAGAATCTGGTCACCGGTGGGTCAACGTGACAATTGTGAGGAAAATTGAAGTGTTAAAGTCTAAAATTTCCCTCATGTCATTAACGTGAAAGATAGCACTAGAAACAGACTTAAACCGATATTGTTGTTAATCTCGATTTAATGCGAATTAGCTGAATATTTCACACATTTGAATGTGAACATCGGGAATCACAATCCTAAACCAGATAACTATACGAGGGACGTTCAATAAATAATGTCATTAGTTCGATGACATACAACATAGAAGTCATATGACATTAAGCTTGACTTTTTCTCATTATTTAATCTTAACTGAATTGATAACAGTTTATGTGACCACTTTTCATCGCATTATGTCATTGTGGGAAGCTAGAAAACAAGGGCTATTCGAGACACCGCATAAAAAAATGAATGGTCAAGAATCAGTAAACTAGAATAAAATTTAACGCGTCATTAAAGCAGCTGTAAAACATGTTCATATCCCAAGAATATATTAACTGAAATATGTGAAATTTACAGCAATTAATGTCTGTTTTATAGACACGTGAACAAGTAGATTTCAATAAACAAAAATTATATAATGAGCACCAACAATGGGTACCGTCCTTGGCAACAATGACTTACAACAACCGATTTAAATTTGCAAAAAATCAACAAATTATCACTGATTATGTTTTATTGACTTTGAGACACATAGTAAAATTAATAAAAATCATTTTGGGGATAGTTCACAGTTTTAAAGAAGCATTTGATAGTGAAAAAAGTTTAATACTCAAAGGTCACCCTATATTTTGAAAAAATGAGTGAAATCGACAGCTAGCATGTAGGAATATCTAGACAATTATCTTTAAAAAAAATCAAAAATTGTACTTATTCACGTTTGTCTAAAAATTCAAACAGATTATAAAACTTGAATCCATTTTGCTTTAAACCCTCAAAACAAATTTACAATAAGATGCACTTGACAAAACTGCAAAGGCCTAAAAAGAGCAAAGAATTGCAAGAGCAGAAAAACAGTTTTATATGCTATTTTCTTAAATATTAGCGATCATGTTGTTCAAATTCATATTTGGGGAGGAAGTTAAATTTCTGGAGAAGTTTAGAAAACAATTTTTTGCAAAAAAAGGAAGGTTTATGAGAGGAAGGAAACAGAATGAGGAATTCACTAAATTTCTTCATGACGGCGTCCAAACCCACAGGCCATGAAGAGTAAATTAAGGGGTTTTGGGGATAAACAGAAAGTTAATGTTTTGTCACACCAACAAAATTTGCCAGATCTTTCAATCTTTGACCTGTTTCATTTCCCAAATTTAGAAAAACATCTATCAGAGAGAAAAAAAACAAGTACAGCACATCATAGGATCTGCCATATTCCAGTACGCAAAGGGTCATGAATACTCAAAAACATGTTCTAAAAACAGTTAGAAATTGAATGAAAATGTTTCGGACATGTATTTTAATTAAAAGAGAATATCTTAGTTAAATCATTAAGACTAAATAATAGAAAAGCGTTTTTTTGTTTCTTTCCGAGCCCCAATGACATTATTTATTGAACGCCCCTCGTAGATGTGTTTGTGAAAAACTGCTGTACATTTACGACAGCTTATGGCGAGGAATGCAAGCCATTAAACTCTTAATAGGTTAATATAGGGGATCAAAAATGTTGCTACCAAAACTATATAGGTACTGTGAGCTGTGAGATCACTATAAATGAAACCACCGCCTCGATCCAGTGCAAATGATTATGTAATGGCAAAATCCATCTTTTGCACTAGGAGGCCCGAAATAAGTATCAGCTAGGTCAAAAAAGTGAAATAGGAGGGGCACAATGGCACTAGTCTCTTTCAGGCTTCACCAAAGGTCAGCATATCCAACAGCCACGTAGAGGTACAGGCCAGCTTCTTTTCAAGGCCAACTCCTTTCAGTACCAATTTCTGGTATTCAATGCAACATTTCCCTGATATCAATTTCCTGTCGTATGTAGTGGGAGGGGAGCAACCAGCCTTTTAAATTGAACATTTCCAATAGTAAAAGTAATGTTGGGAAAAGAAGTGGGTGGAGGGGGGGGGGGCAGCCCCCTCCCCTCCTAGTCCCCCTGTTGCTACGTGCCTGTCCAAAAATGTATTTTTACAATAGCTACAAAACTATAAACTTTGTGAGGTACATTAAAAGTGAAACTTTAATTTTATAGTGTAAAACAAGATGTGTTTGTGAAACACTATGCGCCCGGCGGCAACAAAGTTCGAAAAAACTATTTTTAGCATATAGGTCACAGTCAAGGACACAATGTCATTGACTTTGGTGTCATTTGTAAGAACTTTATTAGTGGAGTATGCATACCAAATATGAATTGTCTTATTTTTCGATTTCATGACGATTGGGCTGCGTGATAATTTGCGTAAACGCCGAAGGTGTTTATTCATAAAATTATCACGCAAGCCAATCGATTGATCATCGTCATGATATTATAAAATCTGACTATCATTCCTTATATTTACATGCTTTGATTCCACCAATCCACGTGCTCCAAGCCCTGCTTCTGTCTAGTTGTTTGTTACGCCCTGCACGTACGTGTTTTGTTTTTTTTGAAACTGCACCAATACATTGATGGGGGTAATAAAGTACATTTACAATTTGTAATTTTATCTTGGACAAAGACATTGAAAATCTAAGTATTAATAAATATATCATTGATTAACAGGTACAGAAACATTCAGTAGTATAAGAGGAATTGCGGATAAGAGATGGGTACCCCAAAGCGTAACAGACGGACGGACATCCCGATCACTATATACCCCCCCCCTCGGTTCCGATGCCTATGGGAATATATATATCAACAGCTAGATTGACGTATTCATCAGATTCATTTCACTATTGTATAATACACTGTTGATATTAATCTTTATCACCGGGGATATATAAATTTGCAAATGGATTACGTCAATACATGTATAAGAAAACCACTGAAATAAAGACTGAAAAATTAGACGTAATGCAGATGAGCTATTTCTACTTTATATTGTACAATTTATAAGACTTCCTTTTTACGGGCAATTCTTTATAATCTACTTTCCTTCAAACGTGTTTATCCCAGTGGATTACTAAATGATTCAAATTATCCCTAAGAAAAGGATTCATTATGCATTGTACTATAATTTCACTGTACCTCTTCAAAATTTAAAATTGGGTTCATTTCATAAACTGACTCTCTAGATACCACTCATGTAATAGCATTCTATTATAATGTCTTTAACAAAAATCGTTTTGGGCGAATTTAAAAGGGAGCAAACTTGTTTCTAAATGTTAAAGGGCGAAAGTAACAAGGGGCGAAAATAATCCTGCCTACAGTACTTAAATTTTTCTCCTGTATATTGAGTCAGCGCAATGTTTGGTTTCCTTTGTTCCAGTGTGATGATGTGGATTTCATATCACACACAATCGAAGATCTTTCTCCCGACACACTCACAAATACCAAAACTCCATACAATTATCGCTGTTATGTCGTCGGAAACCAGGAACGAAAACGATGGTATCTTCTAGGTCTAGGGGTATATACTCGTTTTTTTGACCGATTTCAAGTAGATCTTTATGATAAATCAAATCAAATTGATAACTTTTCTTTGTATTTTATTATACACAGAGGTCAGATGTGTTCAAATGGGATGGAAATCCACACTCCAGATGGAGGAAGTTGTAGGAAGATAACATCCGAGTAGAACTCCCGACAGATACACTGATAGAAGTGGAGATAGTACAGGAGATGAAAGGGGAGGTAAGTCATACAGAACTCCCGACAGATACACTGATAGAAGTGGAGATAGTACAGGAGATGAAAGGGGAGGTAAGTCCTACAGAACTCCCGACAGATACACTGATAGAAGTGGAGATAGTACAGGAGATGAAAGGGGAGGTAAGTAATATAGAACTCCCGACAGATACACTGATAGAAGTAGAGATAGTACAGGAGATGAAAGGGGAGGTAAGTCCTACAGAACTCCCGGCAGATACACTGATAGAAGTGGAGATAGTACAGGAGATGAAAGGGGAGGTAAGTCCTACAGAACTCCCGACAGATACACTGATAGAAGTGGAGATAGTACAGGAGATGAAAGGGGAGGTAAGTAATATAGAACTCCCGACAGATACACTGATAGAAGTAGAGATAGTACAGGAGATGAAAGGGGAGGTTCTACTTGAACTCCCGGCAGATACACTGATAGAAGTGGAGATAGTACAGGAGATGAAAGGGGAGGTAAGTCATACAGAACTCCCGAGAGATACACTGATAGAAGTGGAGATAGTACAGGAGATGAAAGGGGAGGTAAGTCCTACAGAACTCCCGACAGACACACTGATAGACGTGGATATAGTACAGGAGATGTAAGGGGAGGTAAGTCATACAGAACTATACAGAACTCCTGACAGATACTCAGTGTACAGGAGATATAAGGGGAGGTTAAGCAAACTGTCAAAATTGAAAGCATCAAGTAAGTAATTTGAATGGAGAATTTTGATTGGATATTTATTGATAACTATTATGTTTCTGTACAGGGTTCAGGACAGAGAAGAATGATGACTCTACATGCCCTGGACGCCATGTTTATGTACGGTAAAGATGTCCGCAGTCTGACTTTCAGAGACAGTTAATGTATCGTCAATCCTTATCAAACAAATCTGGCACTTAAAGTTAAAAATAAAGCTTCTAATTTTGATACAATCTATTAGAAAAATTGTTTATGATAAATTTAGGGAGGGCAGGTCCTAAATGATTGTAATTTACATGTGCATGTAATCGAGTTTCTATATTGATGCGTGATTTAATACATGTATTTGTTTTGTAGAATTGACAAGCTAAGGAAGTTTGTACAGTGTATCACCAAGCCGACCCGACCCAATCTGACCCAGATTATTGTCCCATACATCTACAGGCTGGAGGAGGTCCACCAGGTGTTTGACAGGTAAAGGGAACCAGTTTATATGCTAAACATATTGATCACTTACTTTACCTGGCATAATATATGATTTCTTTCTTTGGTGGTCTTCTTTTCTATTTTTCTAGAGAATATTGAATAAATACCTTAATGAAAATTTAATGCAGGGTAATGTAGGAATGAAAAAAGTATTCTGGTTTAAATCTGCTTTTGTTTATTAATAATTCCAAAATTTTATTTTTGGAATGGCTTTTTGCAGGTTGGAGTTTCGTCGCGTTAAAGGTTCGGCTAATCCCCGGTTGTGTTACAGTCCCCCGGACAGAGCTGACGGAAGGTGCTTCCTGCCGTCTGGACTCTGTATCGTAAAAATCGTCAAAGGTACCACTCTTATATTGCTACAATCATATAAATTAGTCTTCTATGGCACCTGATCCCAACATCTGATGCTTTCAGAGGTCGATTATTGCTCTGCTTTCAATTTGTATAATTTGAGTTGATTTTATTTCTTGTATTCAAATTTAATTCATTACATTTTAAGATTTTTTTAACGCAAGTATTTTATACAGGGTTATTTTCACTTTGTATAATTTTCGCCCTTTTGCACTTGCAGACAATATTATCCTGTTTTGAATTCACCAAGTCATAATTCTGTTTAGGAAATTATTTTATGTTCTTTGAATTTGTCCCGTTTTAAATTCGCCCAACCAAGAAGATTGCGAAAAGGGCAAAAATAAAACAGGGACAAAATTTCCCTGTATACAGTATTATTTCCATTTCAATGGGAAGTGAAAAACAAATTAAGAAATATGAATCCATTTGAATATTGCTGATCGTGTTTGCTCCATTTTTTGCAGATCCCTGGACAATGGCTCTCAGTAAATCAGCCAATCAAAAGTATTTTTACAACATACACACGAAAGAGTCCACATTCCACTGTCCCCCATCAAGTGTGGCCCACTGCAGGTCTGTTACGTATTACATAATTATGTAATTAACAAATTTTAAACATTTTGATATTAGATGATTAAAATCCTTGGGCTAGATCTTATTGGTAATTTAAATCAAACTGAGATTCTTGGTAATAGTGGATATTTGGGCTTATTTTCAGTGACTGCAAAACATCAAGCTATATCTGGAAATTTGAAGAGGGTGTGAAGATTCATCCAGACCAGACATTCTCAGCCAACCCCCACAGAATCTCCAAGGACAATTTCTTAGACTACATAAATATGTTGACCCCTAGGTGACCCCTCAGTGACATTGCCGCCATTTTATCAGCCTCCATTTCACTTCACTCTGTATCAGAATCATCAGGAATGTTCAACCTTAATGAACAAAACATTTGTTGTTCTCATACATGTATTTGTTTGTACTGCATACATTAACTATTGTTGATGAATTATGTTACGTATGTTTGATTTATGTCGATAGTTTTGTTGTTTTTGATATGATCCCTGAAATTGAAGACTATAATTACAATGTATATTGTTGGAAAGATTGTTCACTTCTGTTAGCTCACCTAAGCTAAAACTTGTTAGCTTTTCTGATCAACTGTTTTCCGGCACCCATTAATCTGTTTATCCATCCATCTGTTAAACTTTTTACATTTTCATCTTTTCCGGACTGAGTCATTTTGGACTAAAGCATCATTAGATATCATATTAGAATTCTACGGACCAAGTCCCCTTCCAATGGAGATAACATCAGTATCTATTTTACATGGCATGTGTACAGGTAAGGAATTTTCTTCTCTATATCTGGAAGGTCATGTTGTTTGTATTCAGTGGCCCTTTTGAAGTAGAATGGAACCATATCATGGGGTCAGAATTCTCTATGGGTATATAAAAATAGGGATTCTGAGTTAAATGTGATGGCCAGTGGACCCACTGTTGAAGACAAATAACTGTGAGATGTACAGAGACCTTCTCCCAATATATACATTGTATTTTGATGATTAAGCTGATAGGTACACTCCCTCCCCCTCCACCCCTGTTAGGAGTTCATGTTTTTAATTTTTTGTGTCTCTACATGTATAAGCCGTTTTTAAACTCTCTTTATATGCATCTGTCGAAAACGATGTATTCAAAAACGGCTTATAGAAACAAAAGGGTTACATTATCGATACCAAGTAGAGCATATTAGACTACCAAAATATGGAAGAGGTGTGTCGACTACAGATTTAAAAATGAAAAAAGGGGGGGTCTAGCCCCCAAGTGCCTGTGGTGTAGAATTTTTTGAACAAATTATAAATACATATGACTTAATTTTTTGATGGAATAATTATTTTAGAAGCATTAAAGGTTTCCAGATTCCAGCCGTATGCTGGTCTTGTGGGAACTAGCATATGGCGCTTTCTTCGATGTGGTTCGCCTTTCAGCTCTTCATTTTCTTTCTGTCTCAGACCTTTCGTTTCTTCGAATTTATCCTCGGAATCCTGACTGGTAAAATTAATACGAAATCAAGTTTCGTCACCTGAAAGAATCTAATTTACCCGGATAGTTTCGGCTTTAAAAAACAAACTCTTATGCTCATTAAATACCTTTATTCGTTAAAAAATAACGATAAATATATGCGATTTACCACACTTTTTTAATTATTTTTTTTTATGCCCCCGTAAACGAAGTTTCGGGGGTATAAATTTTTTGTTGTGTTAGTCCGCCTGTCTAGCTGTCTGTCTCTCTGTTTGTCCGCAAAAACTTGAACCTTGGCCATAACTTTTCAACACTAAGGGATAGCACTTTCATACTTCACATATTTAATCCTTGTTAAAATACCGTTCAATGGATACCAAGAACTTTGACCCATTCCCCTTGACCTTGGAGTTTGACCTACTTTAAAAAGCAAACCTTGACCATAACTTTTAAAGGGTTAGGGCTAGTGCTTTCATACTTTACATATTTAATCCTTGTGACAAGACCTTTCATTTGATAACAAGAACTTTGACCTTGACCTTGGAGATTCACCTACTTTTAACTTTTTTAAACCTTGGCCATAACTTTTGAACAGTTAGGGCTAGGGCTTCCATACTTTACATATATATTCTATGTGGCAAAAACCTTTCATTGGATACCAATTACCTTGACCTTTTGACCTTGACCTTGGAGATTTTTGTACTTATAAAAAACTTTAACCTTGGCCATAACTTTCGAACGCTAAGGGCTAGTGATCTCATACTTCACTTATGTAATCCTTCTGAGAAGACCCTTCATTGGATACCAAGAACTTTGACCTTGACCTTGGAGTTTGACCTACTTTTAAAAAGCAAACCTTGACCATTACTTTTAAAGGGTTAGGGCTAGTGCTTTCTTACTTGACATATTTAATCCTTGTGACAAGACTTTCATTTGGTAGCAAGACCTGTTGCTTCCATACTTTACATATGTATTCTATGTGGCAATACCTTTCATTGGATACCACTGATCTTGAAGATTTCCGTACTTATGAAAAAAAATTTTAACTTGGCCTACTTTTATATTTCCAGTGAGAATACCCTGCTTTTGGTTCCAATATATTAACTTTGCATTTAAGAAAAGTTAATCTTTGCTGTGTTGCCTAGCTGCAGATCTGTAGCGTTATGGTTTTATATATTTGTCTTTGACCATAATGCTACAGATGCCGTACTGCAAAAAAAGACCTTGACCTTGCAATTTATGGCGCAACTTTTATTTTTGCGCACTTTTAGGGTGAATTTCTAATCTTTTAGCATTGGTCAATCAACTGCCTTTCACTCCCTTATTCTAGACACATTCTGTAGCCAATATGAAATTAGTGTCAAACTTATTGCTGATAATACTAACCTCCCAACCATTTATATTTGTCTCTACAGGCAATAAACCCGCTTGAAGTGAATTTTCAGCAATCTAACAAATAATTTTAATTAAGTGAGTTTATCACTTGTAGAGACGACTATAACATGTATAAAGGGTTGGGAGATGGATAAATAAATAGATTAGTTAAATTATGTATCTAGAATTAGGGAGGGAAAGGTAGTTAATTGGCCGATGCTGGAAAGTGGAGAAATTCTCCCCAAAAGTGCGCAAAAAATATTGCGCCGTAAATTGCACCTTTTTTGCAGTACTCTTTCGGGATCTGTAGCGTTATACGTTATGGTCAAACACAAATATATAAAACCATAACGCTACAGATCTGCAGCTATATGTTGCCATGCGGGGGCATCAGTGTTTCACAAACACATCTCGTTTATATTTAAAATATTTAAATAAACACAATAGAATGTTACAGCTTTCATACAACTTTTTAATGAAAAAACAACTTCCAATTGTATAACTAAAAACTAATATAAATTTTAATCAAATCAAAAAGTAATAAGGCTTTGAACAATAATTATGGCCTGAATTATTATATTCATTATTATGTGTCAGTCAGCTGAAGGAGTTGAGCTGAGTCAGAAATGGACTATTTTTTTCGTGAACCTAAGTATTTTGACAGTTGATCTCTGAATGATTTGCTTTGAGTCGCATACAAAAAAATTTCGACGGGTTTGCTTAATGCAAATATAAAGTAAACGTACATGTAGGTGATAAATATCGTGGAATAAGAATGCATAATATTCTGTGTTTCCCAGGTTGAATAAAGATACACCTTTAAAATAACAATTGGCACCTCTTGCAAAAGGAAAGAACTACCTAACAGGAAATTGACTTTGAGTAGACGCAGATACTTGACTTTGCCCATTTTTATTTGACCCTGCATTAATATGTCTAGAGCTCTCGCCTGCTTATTCATTACAACATAAAGTGCAATAACACTACCACTGTTGATAACAATAGGTAGAAAACTGAAGTAAATTAAATTACTTAAAAACCCCATAAATTGTGTTTTAAGTGTAAAATCCCACGTTCCGGCTTGTACGAAGTCCGCTTTACAAGCATCAATGATTTTTGACGGTTGTTCTGGGGAAAATTCCTGTACAATTCTGACAGGGGTCAACGGAACGCTAGTCGGCATTACAAACTGTAAACTGCAGATCATAACATGAATAAGAGTCCAAGCGGTAAAAAATATCTTAAATCTGCTGTAATAAAATTTAAATTTGATGGGAAATAAAAATAAAAGTGCCTGAGTTAAAGTTGAAAGACATTTGAGATGGACAGATGTTGCATGAATCACTTGTAAAACAATGATAGAAATAATCATCGGTCTGCATATCTTGTATTCCATGAATCCATAATTCATGTGCATATATTCCAGAAGACCATCTCGGGCGCCCATTAGAATCGTAAACAAGACGTCAACACACATAACAAGAATCAGGAACCGCTGAGCTCTGCCGAAAAGTTTCCCTTTGTGAAAGATAGTCCACATGAAAAGAGTTCCACATAACGGCAAGACCCACAAGTAAGGCGATATCATTTTGGAAAATTCCAAACCGAATGTACCGTATAGATCTGCAAACTTGAACACCTGCTCAAAATTTCTATTGGCTTCAAGCATTTCAAAGACTAAGTTGTTCAGTATTTGAGAAGCATTTTGGACTACGTTCGCCATGATTTCTGTCTTGAATTGTGGAAATCTTTTCGCCGTGTTCTATATATAGTCAGTGATTTGTTAATTTTCAGGACAATCTTGGACACTTTAACACCATATTAAAGTAATGAGAGTGGCAATTTGCGATTAATCCTTTTCGTGATGTTATAATCTTGTATCAGGTTATAGACTTTTCAGATTATCGGGTAACAGTTTTGGACATGAATATATTCATAAAAGTCAAATATATGTGAAAAAGGTTATTTTTAGCTCCTCTGAGTCAAAGAGACAATTACAAGGCCATTTATGCGGTGTACGTCTACTTCTTTGGAATTATAAATTAAGTCCATATCCCAATTTTGTCCAGTTTGTCATAGAATATCCTTAGCCCAAGGGTACGAAAAAGCTATTTTTAGCATACAGGTCACAGTCAGAGTCACCTTGGTGCCATTTGAAAGACTTTAATTAGTGGAGTATGCATAAAAATATGAAGTATCTGTTTTTCATGGTTCAAAAGTTATGGCGAAGGTACGAAATAGATATTTTTTGCATATAGGTCACAGTCAAAGTCATCAGATCATTGACCTTGAACTTGATTAGTGGAGAATATATGCATATTAAATATGAAGTCTTTATCTCTTATGATTCAAAGTTATGGCAAAGGTACGAAAAAACTTTTTTAGCCTATAGGTCAAGGTCACAATGTCATTGACCTTGGTGTCATTTGAAAGAGCTTAATTAGTGGACTATGCATACCAAATATGAAGTCTCTAACTTTCATGGTTATGGTTAAAGTTTGCAGACAAACAGAGAGACAGGATAAAAACAATATACGCCCTGTTTCTATCGATTCGGGCGCATATATATAGATCCGGGGCGTATAAAAATGAGTGCCATATTTCCAACCAATCAAAAGTTATAACTAATGTTTTTGC